CTCTAACTCCAAGCAAGCTTTATTTGTCAGAACACAACCAAAATATCATGCAACACTGCAAAGCAAAGATGCCTGGCCCAGTGCTTCAGCCTCTGGCCTCTTACCATATTACAGTGCTCAGGGAAATACCTCAAAGTGTGAATAGAGGCCTCAGGTCATTGAAGGGGTTGTTCAACCTGAAACTTGAAAGGCTTCTTGGTAATGCATTCATTTTTCATTGTTAAAGAAGATGATTCTTCTCAATTGTAAAGCCATATTATAGTATCTGAGAATGTGTTCACACATTCTCAGCCCAAGGCAATCAGTATGCAACATTAACCACAATTCCTCACTTCACTTTAGAGGTAGGATATTTATCACCTTCCCTGAATTTTAGGTCCTGGAAGGTTAAAGAACATCTGTTTGAGGTCATGATTTTCTTATAAGAGATTAATGGATCTGTAATGTCACACTCTGCTTGACTGTATCAGATAATACATTAATCACCACATAAGCCTAGACCCAGTAGGTGCATGAGAAGAAATTCCATCTACTTCTTCCTTCTTGGTGTCTTCATCTCTTTGGCTCTTTCTTTCTTTTTTTTTTTAATTTATGAGCACAGTTCTTTACTAGAAGACTCAGCATAACTTTCTGTCCATGGTGTTGCAATTTTCTCAGTTCTATTATGACACATGCTTTCAAAACATGTTCTTATTTAAATATAAGAAGAATTGGTACTGTAGCTTTGTTGGTAGATAACTAGGTTAACATACACAAAAAAAGTCCTGGCCTCCATTTGCAACAATGCATAAATCCTGTTCAGTGGTTCATGCTTGTAATCTCAGCATGCAGATGTGAAGGCAAACAGAATATAAATTCTGTATCATCCTGTATTGCTCACTTTGTCACTCTGAAATACAGAAGTTCTTATCCAAACAAACAAAATATTAGTTATTCTCATTTTAATATTTATGAACAGATATATTGACCATACAGCCAAATGACAGTTTTGAAGTTTAAAAATCCTTGTGACATGAGAGAGCTGCCTGTGGGCTGCACCACCACCACCACCACAGCCACCCACTGGGTTCTATCCCAAAGACCCACTCCACCACTCACCCCTACCCACTTCATCATACTCTCTGTGGCCAGCCCTTCCCCTCAACTCTAGAAGACTCCATTAATCCACACCAGTGAAAAGAACAGGTGAGTCATTGGCCTGCCAGCTGAGCTGCCTAATTCCACTAAAATCAGGAAAAAGACAAGGCTGTCCACTCTCTTCACATCTATTCAATATAGTACTCGAAGTTTTATCTAGAGCAGTAAGACAAGAAAAGCAGATAAAGTGGATATAAATTAGATAGGAAGAAGTCAATATTTTGCTATTTGCAGATGATATGATAGTACATATAAGTGACCCCTAAAATACTACCAGTGAGCAGGCCAAAGCCAGACTACAATTGGTTCTTGAAGCTGCTGCAAAAGCTGATGAAGCACTAAAAGCCAAAGAAAGAAATGAAGAAGAAGCAAAGAGAAGAAAAGAGGAAGACCAAGCCACCTTGGTGGAACAAGTAAAAAGAGTTAAAGAAATTGAAGCCATTGAAAGCGATTCTTTTGCTCAGCAGACATTCAGATCAAGTAAAGAAGTCAAAAAGTCAGTAGAACCAAGTGAAGTGAAGCATGTGACTCCAGCATCAGGACCAGCATCAATAGCCGCTGACCCACCCAGCATCAAAAAGGAAATAGACCCTGACAGCATCCCCACGGCCATCAAGTACCAAGATGACAATTCTCTGGATCATCCAAATTTATTTATTGAAAAAGCTGAAGCTGAAGAAAAGTGGTTCAAGAGATTAATTGCTCTCCGACAGGAAAGACTAATGGGCAGTCCTGTGGTCTGAGGAAGAGATTTATGGTTGAATTGACAGAAATCTTGAAAATTTAGGTTTTTAAATACCAATATTAACTTTTACTCTTCAAAATAATTTAGCCAGTTACATAGAAAGAAAATCTCATTTCTTCTCTCGTGTTCAACTATTTGTTGTTTCAAATCAAACATTGGAAATAGTGAATCTATTGTAAAAAGGTGTGTGTTCATGAACATATTATCCTGTTAATAAAGCTAATCATAAAAATACTACCAGTCAAAAATATGACTGAGTACAAGATTAATTAAAAAAAACAGTATCCCTCCTATATGCATCTGATAAATGGGCTGAGAAAGAAATCATGGGAAAAATACCCTTTATAATATCCACATGCAATAAAAAAATAACTTGGGGTAAACCTAACTAACAAATGAAAGACATGTATGATAAAAACTATAAGTTTTTGAAGAAAGAAGTTGGAGATGATATCAAAAAATAGAAAGATCTCCCAGGCTCATGAATCACTAAGATTAACATAGTAAAAGTGGCCATCTTATCAAAAGTAGTCTGAAGGTTCAATGCAATCCCTGTCAAAATTCAAACAGAAATCTTCACAGAACATAAAGGAACAATACTCAAATTCACATAGAGAAACAAAAACCTAGGATAAGTAAAACAATAAAGGAACTTTTGGAGGTATAACCAACCTTTATTTCAAGCTCTCCTATAGAACTATCATATTTAAAAAAACATGATGTTGACACAAATACAGACAGGTGGATCAATGGAATCAAATTAAAGACCCTAACATAAATCCACACACCTGTGAACACCTGATTTTTGAGAAAGAAGCCAAAATTATACAATGGAAAAAAGAAAGCGTCTTCAACAAATGATTCTGGCATAACTAAATGTCATCACGTGGAAGAATGTAAATAGAACTTATCTGTCACATTGCACAAAAGTTCTAGTCCAGAGCTGGAGAGATGGCTCAGAGGTTAAGAACACTGATTGTTCTTCCAGAGGTCTTGAGTTCAATTCCCAGCAACCACATGATGGCTCACAACCATCTGTAATGAGACCTGGTGCCCTCTTCTGGTCATATATGTTGTATACATAATAAATAAATAAATCTTTTTTAAAAAAGTTCTAGTCCAAGTGAATCAAAGACCTCAGCATAAATTCAGTTACACTGAACCTGATAGAAGAGAAAGTGGGAAGTATCTTTGCTGAGTGCAGTGGCAGAGGAGACAACTTCCTGCATATAACATCAGTAGTACAGACACTGAGACTGACAACTAATAAATAGGACTTCATGAAAATGACAAGATTCTGTAAGGCAAAGGACACTGTCAATAGGACAAAATGGCAGCCTACAGAATGGGAAAAGATCTTCACTAACCCCACATCTGACAGAGGGCTGAGCTCCAAAGTATATAAAGATCTCAAGAAATTAGACATCAAAATACCAAATAATCCAATTTTAAAAAAATGGGGTATTGATATAAACAGAATTCTCAACAGAATTTCAAATGACTAAGATACACTTAATTGTTCAAGATCCTTAGCCACCAGGGAAATAAAAATGTAAATGTCTCTGATATACCATCTTACTCCTGTTAGAATGGTTAAAATCAAAAACACAAGTGACAGCTTATGTTGGAGAGGATGTGGAGTAGGGGGAACACTCCTCCACTCCCGGTGGGAGTGCAAACTTGTATAGCTACTTTGGAAATCAATATGGCAGTTTCTCAGAAAATTGGGAATCAATCTACTTCAAGACTCAGCTATATCAATCTTGATCATATAACCAAAGGATGCCCAATCATACCACAAGGATACTTGCTCAACTCTCTTCATAGCAGCATTATTTGTAATAGCTAGAACCTGGAAACAACCAATATGCCTCTCAAACAAAGAATGGATAAAGAAAATGTGGTACATTTACATAATGGACTTATTACACAGCTAAATAAAAAAATGACATCATAAAATTTTCAGGCAAATGTGTGGAACTAGAAAAAATAATCTTGAGTAAGGTAACACAGACTCAGAGAGACAAACTTTGTATTTATTCACTCATAAGTAGAAATTAGCTGTAAAGTATACCCATACTGCAATCTACAACCCCAGAGAGGCAAGGTAAGAAGGAGGGCTCAAAGAGGGACATATGAATCTTCCTGGGAAGAGAAAATAGAAGAAATTTATTTTCTCCAGTGGCTGGCAGTGGTGGTGGTGGTGGTGCAGCCCACAGGCAGCTCTCTCATGTCACGAGGATTTTTAAACTTCAAAACTAGGGGCAGAGGAGATGGGAACATGAGGGGTCATGTTGGGCAGTTTGGAGGTGGGAGGGAGGGCAAGAATAATAAAAGAGATGTTTGATGGGGTGTCCATTTCAGAGGGTCACGAGGAAACCCAGTGCCAGGTAAACTCCCAGAAATCTACAAAGATGGCCCCATCTAAGACTCCTAGCAACAGTGGAGAAAGTGCCTGAACTGAGTATCTCCTGAAATCAGATTGGTGACTACCCTAATTGTTATCAGAGAGTGTTTCATCCAGGAAATGTTGGAAGCAGATGCAGAGATCCACTGCCAAACACAGGGCTGACCTCCTGGAGCCCTGCTGAAGGGAAGAAAGAATTTATGAGGTGGGGGTGGGTGGGATGGAGTGTTAAGGTCATCACAAGGGAACCCACAGAAATAACTAACCTGGGCTCATAGGTGCTCACAGACTCTGGACCAACAGCTAGGAAGCCTACATGGGACAAACCTAGGCCCCCTATATATGTGTGACAATTGTGTAGCTATTGTAGACAGTTGTGTAGCCTGGTTTATTTGTAAGACTCCTAGCAGTGGGATCAGGGGCTGTACCCAAAGCTTGAGCTGGCTTTCGGGAACCTATTCCTCATACTGGGCTGCCTCACCCACCCTTAATACAAAGTGAGGAGCTTAGTCCTACCCTGACTTGATTTGCAATGCTTTGTTGATACCCATGGGACACCTGCCCACTTCTGAACATCACAGAGGAGGAGTGGATTGGAGTCAGGAAGAGGGGACAGGAGAAGAGAGGGTAGGGGGAACTGCAGTTGGGATGTAAAATAAATGATATTAATTGAAAAAAAAAACTTTTGACAGCTTCATGGACATGTATACTGTAGTAACAGAAAAGTGGATGGATTTTGCACTTTCTGAGACATTGCAAATTGACCTACATTGTTCTGACCTCAATCCTATTCCCTCTTCTTCTTTGCTTGAAACCTCTAGTTCACATGTCCTTTCTGCTGGAATACCATTAGGTAACAACTCTCTTGCTGTCTGTTCTTTTTCCAGAAATCAGAGGATGACTTCCTGCAGCTCTCCCTAGAGAGCTGATAAACCATGTACCTTGTGACTTTGAAAGGCTTTAAAAATGAGTTGAATCCCTCCAACCCTTGTGGATGCAGTGTTGCCCATCTTCCTACTGCCCAGATCCAAAGTGGCCCTGAGATATAGATAGCCCTTATCAGTGTCTTCCTAGATTCTAGCACTTAAGCTAGGTCACCAGCAAGAAAACCATCTCACTGTTCCCTGCAACCTATGAGAACAACTAACTCCTTCTCTTTCCTGGGGACCGAACGGAACTGAGCTATTCACTGCCTCTTCAGGATCCCATCATGGCTGCCTGTGAACATGATACTAAAACTCTCCTAATGAAGTTCTTCTTAAAGGAATTGTTTCCTTTTCTTTTCTAGAAAACTGTGTTACCTTTAATTAGTTAACATAGTCAATTCATGCTTCCAGTCAATGTGCAAGCACCATCTCTTGTGAAGCTCTGGAGATCCTATAGGTATTCAATCTCAAGTGACTCAAGTGCCTCTAAGGTTTGATGCCTCATCATCACACCAGCAAGCCCTAAAGCCTTTATCCTACAAATTAAATCTCAAATTATCTTATGTACACATCTCGGCCATCCTCAGAGTTGGTGATCTTTCTTCTGTTCTGCCCTGGGCATCTACCTTTAGGACTGCTATTAGAAACATGGGGATTCCATCCTGCACTTCACAACCAGCTAGCCTTCTTCAATCATTTCCTCAACTTGTTGACTTATAACAGGTGATTTCTGATGATCCTGGCTCTGTGGCTGCTCTCTTTATCAAGTGCTACTGTGAAATTGGGAATTAGTGTTTATAATTGAAATAAGTAGATGCTTTGTCATAGTCCTCTTAAGTCTTAGATGCTCCTTCCCAGTTGTTCATCATGGCTATGGCAACCTCCATGGAACCCTTCTCATTCTTCCTTTGTAAATAAGAGTTGCCAGCTCTCGGGGGCACTTGTGTTGGAGCCTCCTGCTTCTCAAGTCTGTAAGAATTGTTTTTACATGGCAGACCCTTCTCTATTGTCAGTTATGTGGTCAGCACTATGGAGCTTCACACCATGATTCCAAGATTTTCCTGCATCTTTACAATCTGATTTTCTTTTTGTAAATTAAACTTTATTATTACAAAAACTTAAAAAATAAATAAAAACACCACATACTAAAATTAACCATACCCAAAGTCTATACAACTTAATAAACACTAAGAATGGGCATTCAAAATGAAATCTGTAAAGCTTCATATTATATATTTTTTTTCATTTAGTGCTGAATATATTTAGGTACTTATTTGACAACACCAGCACCACCACCCAAAAAACAAAACAAAATCTAACAAAATTAGAACTAGAGAAACAATTAGGTTTATATCCTTTTTCATATCTCATGCCAGATATGTGCATTCAGTTATTACTCATCCCCTTACATTTAGCTTTTTCTATTCTCTTTTTTGCATGTTATGCTGTACCCACAAGTGCATCTGTTTTTATCTATACACATTATCCATTTATCTGTTGGTAGAGGACTAGGGTTATTCTACTTCCTTTCTATAGTTAATAAAACACAAGAAACAACAGAAAAAAAGGGCTTTCTTTCTTTTTAATTACTCTACCTCTAACAGACACTGTATTTCTTTGTCCTTATTCTTGATACACCCTTTTGTGTATACATTTGTTTTTTAATCAGATCACATTTGTGTGAAGTACAATTTCATGTA